AGAAAAAACTTGATTCTTTGCCAAGTGATTCGCACTTTGACTATCACACTTCAGCTTCACACAATCTTGGGTGATTCTCATTTGACTTACCAAGCCATTAAGCCAAATTGCTTCCTTTCTAGCTTCGGCCAATGCAATATACTCTGCCTCTGTGGTCGACAAAGCTGTAATTGGTTGCAGTAGTGCCCTCCAACTGATTGGTCCTCCTGCGCATGTAAACACATAACCAGAAGTTGGCCTTCTCTTGTCCAAGTCTCCTGCATAATCGGCATCTACATATCCCAACACCCCTGCATTTTCTTTTTTCTTCTCAAACATAATCCTTCGTCGTCAAGAACCCTTCAAATAACGCAAAATCCACTTGACTGCATCCCAATGTTGCTTTCCTGGATTTGCCATGTATCTGGAAACGACATTGATTGCTTAAGCTATGTCGGGACGTGTACATACCATTGCATACATAAGGCAGCCCACGGCATTAGCATAAGGCACCTTCTCCATTACTTGCTGCTCTTCCTTGGACTTAGGACACTGTTGCCCACTTAACTTTAAGTGAGTTGCCAAAGGAGTCGAAACTACCTTTGCTTCTTGCATGTTGAACTTCTCAAAAACCTTCTGAATATACTTGACTTGTGATATCCAAATCCTTCCAGCGGTCCTATCTCTCTGAATTTCCATGTCAAGGATCTTCTGTGCTGCACCTAGATCCTTCATGTCAAACTCCTCGCTCAACATCTTCTTCAAGTCTTGAATTCTATGTTTTTCTTGACAAGTGATTAGCATGTCATCCACATATAGCAATAGCAATATGATCATCCCATCTTGGAACACATGATAGTACACACAACAGTCATATAAACATCTTCTAAAATTGATTTTCAGCATGAAGTAATCGAACCTCTTGTACCACTGTCTTGGAGACTGTTTCAGGCCATACAAGGACTTCCTTAGCTGACATACTAGGTTCTCTTTCCCATATTCAACAAATCCTTCTGGTTGAGCCATGAAAATTGTCTCCTCTAAATCCCCATGAAGAAACGCTGTCTTCACATCCATCTGCTCAATCTCCATGTCATGCTGAGTTGCCATTGCTAAAAGCAATCTGATAGTAGTATGCTTGACTACGGGTGAAAAGATCTCATCATAATCCCCCCCTTCCTTTTGTGAGTACCCTTTAGCCACAAGCCTTGCTTTGAATCTCACGGCATCTTGTTCATGTAGTCCTTCCTTTTTCCTAAATCCCCACTTGCATCCAACTAGCTTTCTGTCTTTGGGCTTAGGAACCAACTCCCAAACAGAGTTCTTGTAAAGAGACTCCATTTCTTCTGTCATAACACTTATCCAACTATCTCGCTCATCACTTGCTATAGCTTCTCGATAAGTAGTTGGATCTCCTTGACTAATGTTGAGAGCATAATTAACTTCGTCTTGGTCAAACCCAAACCTGTCAGGTTTCTTTTTGTTTCGATTAGGTTTGTCCAGTGCTATGCATCTCTGGAATGCAGGTGGATTGTTGGTTGGAGTTCGAACCCTTTGGGATGTCTGGCAGATTAGAGTGTGCCTTCAAACTGCCCTGTTTCTTGCTCCACCTGATTCCTAACTGGTGAACGATGCTGATGCTCTTCTTCTTCCTCAAAACCATCAAATTCGACATCTTGCTCAATTTGCTCCACCTAAGCTTCTTCATCTGAACTAATTAACGGAATCTTTGTTGCTTCAATTTCGGCATCGTCTTTCTTCTCCCTACTGCTCTCGACTTTATTCAGAGGCATGGTTGTCTCATCAAAAACAACATCTCTACTGACAACCTTTTTCCTGTTGTTGATATCCCAAAGCTTGAAACCCTTCACTCCTTTCTCAAAACCTAAGAATATGCAATGTGTAGACTTTGGTTTGAGCTTGGACCTTTCATCACTTGGAATATGTGCGTAAGCACTGCAGCCGAACACCCTGAGCTTGGAGTAGTCCACTGGCTTCTCAGACCATACCTCTTCTGCACTCTTAAAATCGAGAACTGTAGATGATGATCTGTTAATCAAATAACTAGCATGATTAACAGCCTCTGCCCAAAAACTATCAGGCAATCCTGCTTGAAATCGCATGCTCCTCTCTCTCTCTCTCTCTCTCCATGAGAGTTCGGTTCATCCTCTCAGCAGCTCCATTTTGTTGGGGATTCTTCTTTACTGTAAAGTGCCTTATGATGCCTTCCTGCTTGCAGTAATCGGTAAGCTCATTACTTGTATATTCACCTCCATTGTCACTTCTCAGGTACTTGATCTTTCTTCCAGTTTGATTCTCGGTTTCTATTTTTCCATTCCTTGAACTTTGCAAAAACCTCGAATTTCTGCTTCATGAAATAAACCCAAACCTTCCTAGAAAAATCATCCATGAAAGTAACAAAATACCTGGCTCCACTATTTGATTTGGTTGGTGCAGGGCCCCAAACATCTGAGTGAATATAGCTGAGTTGCTCCTTGCTTCGGTTATCTGCACTGCTACTCGCGAATGATACCTTCCTTTGCTTTCCAAGAGCACAATATTCACAAAAGTCCAATTTGCAAGATGACACGCCTTCCAACAGGCCTTGCTTGTGTAATTCTTGCAACCCTTTCTGGCTTATGTGCCCGAGCCTATGATGCCAGAGTTCAGTCTTGTCTTCTATACCTTGATTTACAGAAACATCTGCTATCCCGACTATAGTGGTCCCAATTAACTTATATAGCTTATTAGGTTTTAGGTCACCCCGCATTACCACCTGTGATCCTTTGGCTACCCTGAGTCTTCCCTTTTTAGACTCGTAACTATAGCCGGCCTCATCTAAAGTCCCCAAGGAAATCAAATTCTTTCTTAGTCTAGGGACATATCTAACGTTCCCCAAAGCTCGTATCATCCCATCAAACATCTGATTCGAACAGTGCCGATTCCTTTTACAGGACATGAAGAATCGTCCCCCATTAAAACTTCCCCACTACTAACTTCTTTGTAGGTATCGAACCATTCTCTTACTGCGCACATATGAAAAGTGCATCCGGTATCCAAAATCCAATTTGTGAAAGCCTTGGAGCCTGATGTTACTGAAAGAAGCTCCCCGTCACTCTCATGCTCGGTGACTGCACTAGCTGAACCTGAGCTTCCTTCCATCTTGGCTTTCTTCTCTTTCCAAATCTTGCAGTTCCTCTTCCAATGATCGGCTGAACCACATACGAAGCAACCTTCCTTCTTTTCCTTTTTCTTCTTGGATTTTGACCTACCTCTGTTGCCTGTTTTCTCTTCCTTGGTCTTTTCCCGCCCCCTCTCCGTGCCTTTGGCATAAAGCCCTTAAGAGCTTTCAATTATATCATCTAGTTTAGCATATGACTGAAGAGCTTGAATTACGTCTTCAAGCTTGAGGGACTCTTTCCCAAACATTAGAGTTGTTCGAAAATGCTTGAAAGACGAAGGTAGAGACCTCAGCAAGATGATAGCAATATCATCATCTTTGTAAGTTTCTTCAACCTTTTGAAGATTAGTTATGCAATTCTGGAACCTGCATACGTGATCTTCAATATCACCTCCTTCTTCCAGTCGAAGTCCGAATAGTTCATCCTTTAGAAAACGTTTATTGGACACGGTTTTGCCCATATAAACATTCTCCAACTTTGTCCATGCTTCATGGGCAGTCATCTTTTCGGTGATGTGTGACCGAACTGATCTTGTGAGATGGATCTCGATGGAACTCTTGGCCTTCTTGAGAACCTTAGTCCATGTTGCGTCTGCCATGCTTGTCAGCTTCTAACCGTTGAGTGCATCCTCCAAATCTTGCTATATCAATACGTTCTTCATCATCCTTTGCCAGTCCGTGAAGTCATCATTGCCATCAAAAGGTTTTAACGCATGTACTAGATTCGCATTCATCTTCTCTTTAGACATCGTAGAACACCTTGAACCAGGCTCTTGATACCAATTGTTAAATAACCCGCTATTGGATTTTGTTCTTTAATGTAACCAACCGCAATAGACTAAACTAGCAAATATTAGGAAATTTAGAAACACACAAGAATTATACTGGTTCGGCAAAACTTTTGCCTACGTCCAGTTGTGATTTCTCTATGTAGAGAAATCACCGCTCCTTTGATTAATAATAGAGATTACACAACTTTTGCAAACCCTAGAACTAATCTCAAAACTCTTGGCTGTCTCTGGCTGTTTTTCCCCTCCTTAAAATAAACCTTACCGCACCCTATTTATAGATATAGAGTTGGCTTACATATCCTAAGACTGATTGAATTCCTATTTCTAAGTGGATTAGGAAATTACACTTATCCAAAACCAAATAGGCTTCTAGAAATCCAAACCTGAATTGAATAAGGAAAATTGAAATTCTTTCCCAATCCTTCTAGGACAAGAATCGGTATACCTCTAATTTTCCTAAAAACAATCCTAAACCAACTAGGACATATTTGACGATCCAAAATCCTAACACTATAACCATGTTGCACACATACAATGATACAATCAATGACATAGACAGCTTGAACCAATCAATGACAAAATCATAGCCCATCTTTCTGCAACATATACAAAATGTGCAACCGTCCTCCATGACATGTCCTCTTCTTTGCCTGCATGAGTAGAAAAACTTGTATGAAACGAGAAGAATACTGTTTTGCTATCCATGGCCAATCCATATACAAAATGTGCAACCGTCCTCTATGACATGTCCTCTTCTTTGCCTGCATGGGCAGAAAAACTTGTATGAAACGGGAATAATATTGTTTTGCTATCCCTAGCCAATCACGATCAGCCAGGTGAAAAAATTATCACGAGTGGCATACCGTGATTTGTTGGATATAGCAAAATAGTGATATCCCCGTTTCATGTAAGTGTTTCTCCTGCATGAGACATACTTCACCGTTTCATGTAAGTGTTTCTCCTGCATGAGACATACTTCAAGACAAGTACGCCTCAACCCCTTCTTTAAGTTGCTGTTTCTATAATGAAGTTCTTTAAGCTGTTTTCAATTGAATAGAAAACAAGAATCATACAACATTGCCACTTTATTTCATTGTCAGAGGAAAAAGAAAAGAGAAAAAAAAAATTGAATTTGACTATTATATACGACAACTTACTATGCCCAAAGATAAACTGTCAAGGAAACAAAAATCTCTTTTTGCCATCTATATAACATTATGTTTGTTTGCATAAACAAATCATGAAGAGCATGAAAGCATGCAAACTCCAGGCCTATAAGCCCACGCTGGGGGCAAGCGAGCGTATTTTTCCATTCCCGGTTGCTCATCATATGGCCGTTCCATTACTTTAAGCACCCTCTGAACCTCTCCAAAATCACCTTGTTCAGCCGCATCAATGGCACTCTGGCATAAATAGTTTCTGAGAATATACTTAGGGTTCACTGCATTCATTGATGCCTTCCTCTCCTCATCTGGGATGCCGCTAGCGGCCAGCTGCACAAGCAAAAGACATCATGTGAGAAAGTTAAATACAACAGAATCTTTGCTTTTGACAGGACATGAAGCAACTGAATTAGTTTTAATTCTTCAAGTGAAGTGGGAATCAAAATGATAAACTTTTTGAAGATGAGAGTCATATGAAAACCAGAGCTCAACGTACCTCCTCTATATAGATTTTCACCCAGCTGATCCATGCCTCCTTCCGCTCCTGCCCAATATCTAATAGAACAGCCTTTAGTGGGTTCAACAACTCCTCTTCTGGAATGCTGGGATCAGCTTTGATATTGGATAGCAACCGAAAAAAATTTGTGTAATCCACTTTGTCGACAGCCATATTATTTAAAAGTTTACTGATCAGCTGTTTGATGTACTTGGGAAGACCAAGTTTCTTGGTCATTATAGCTTGATAGTCATCCATGAATCTGGTTCCATATCTGTAACAAATCCATACAAAAAGACGTTCAATTAACTGCCACTGGAAGATACAATTTAATTAGGAGAAAGGTGTATGAATCACAACTACCTTTCCATTGCATAATTTGCTTCCTTATCATCTATCAACTGGGCAGCTGACAGAGTTCTAGTGAATTGTGCAATATTCCATAAGCCAATATCAGGCTGATTTGCAAAACAATACCTCCTCCCAGGAAGATCCGTGGTATTCGGAGTGTAACTTGGATCAAATGCATCCAGAAAACCAAAAGGACCGTAATCAATGGTAAGACCCAAAATGCTCATATTGTCAGTGTTCAACACACCATGAGTAAAACCAACCCCCTGCCATTTGGCAACCAAGGAAGCAGTGCGCTCAGCAACCTCTACTGCCCAAGCTGTTAAAAACCCAACCATGGGAGCAAAAGCACAGAAAAACAGTTAATTAAGTATGCCTGAATGAAACCTTTCTATCATAGACTCTTTTGGAGTGGCAGTAAGAGTAGAGAGAAAATACCAAGTTCGGCATAAAGGAAGATTGCCAATCTCAATATTAGTAACAACATTGGACACAAAAAGTATGTCTGAATCAAGTCCTTTCTTTTGTTTTCTTTTTCTTTATTTTGTCATACATAATGACTTCTGCAGTTCTATTAAAATAACAAGAGGGTTCCTGAATAATGTGGTGCAACATGTACCACAGTATCAACACCAGACACCTTATTTGACTGGCATACATGAAGAAAATATATAGATGCAACTTTGGAACGAGGTAGTGCATCCCTAATAAAATTAGTTTTTAACAGAAGCTGAAGAAGCCAATAGCATCTTAATTAGTCCGAAGTGTACATTACACACAAGAGATAAGCCCATCTTAACCACTTTCCATGCCCAATATGGGAGGTCACCACACTACTAACTCAGCTAGGAACACAAAACTACAGTACCAGGTAGCACTGTGCAACTGTTTACTGGGTGTACTAAACAGGTGTCTGAATCCTAAATCAATCCAAATCGTTTTTCTACAGAAGAAAAATAGAGAACTCATATAATTGCCATGGGATAAGACAACAGGCATACATGAAGAAGATGTATGACTTAAAACAATCCAAATGGTTTTTCTAGCGAAGAAAAATAAAAAGTGAACCCTTATAATGTCCACGGGATAAGACCATATGAAAGCGTACAAGATGAGAAATTTATGGCTAGTTAACTTAGACTGCACTTGTTGATTGAACTTCCGATTCATTTAGCTTCCACAATATGACAAAATGTATCCCAAGTCTTAATGAACGTTATTTAAGCCACCATCAGCAACAAATTTACTCTAAAAGGATGAATGAGTACCTGCATATTTGTTAGATGTCAGATCAACAACTGAATGTTCTTCGTTTCCTGTGTTGAAAGATAAACTCTCACTTCTACTCATGTTCTCTATGTGAGGAAAGTGATGCCTAATGGCATAGTCTGCAAGAGTTCGAACAATTGCAAGGTCCTCTTTTTCTCTGGAGGCATGTATTTGGTATGATCCAAAACGCAGAAAGGATGGAGAAACCCTGCAAACAATTGCACCAGGTTCCTCTTTCGGATTGCCACTGCAAATGAAGAAATAAACAATTTATTTTTAACAAGAAAATATGAAAAACATATATTCCTATAATTAAGGATAAGAAATTTAGGAGGTCCAAACACCGTGATTACAATCTCAGTAAGCAACATACATCCTGGTAAAGTTCAATTCCTTTCAGGATGAACAAGATATTGATATTTTAGCATAAGATCCAACCAAGAATGTTAAGATATTTGAAAAATAAAACAAAGAGAAATGATCTCAATAAGGGAACAAAAGGAATTATCAATATATGAAACCTTGAACTTATGCACTGGCTTCAAAAACAAGAAATTCATATTTACGAAATTACGAAATATATCTTCGAGATATCTAGGACAATACTGCTAGCTAAGAAAAATAATTAGAGTTCTGCTGAACATACTCATAGAACATGTCGCGTGTGACATGTTTTCCTGTTGTCACAAGACAGAGAGCTCGAGTTGTTGGAATTCCAAGATTATGCATCGCTTCACTGCAAAGGAATTCCCGAACGCTACTACGAAGCACAGCAAGGCCATCTGCAAACCGACTGTAAGGAGTCTTCCCAGCACCTTTAAGCTGCAGTTCCCACCGTTCAGATTTAGAATTAAGAACCTCCCCAAGAGCAATAGCCCGACCATCTCCCAACTGTCCAGCCCACATTCCGAATTGATGTCCACCATAGCATTGAGCGTAGGGCAACCTGCATAAATAAAACATACAACCAGGCTGCATGAAATTTGACAACAGTGCCTAATGTGAGCCTCATAACATAATATTCAGAGAAACACTTACGATCCCACTAGAGGAGATGCCCCAGAGAATAAAAGAGGGAAATCTGGCCTTCCAAATCTGTAATTCCAAACAAGGTGCCAAATTAGTCCTATGAAACATGAAATACCACATGTGCTAAACATATGTACTATGGTATATCAGTCGATGGTTCGGGGTACAGCAAGTCAGAAACCAAAGCATTTATCCGAACAATACAGGATGGAAAAAAACATTTACATAGGAAACAATAGCCTCTAATACTCGGCTTGATATCAGAACTCCAAGAAAAAGGAAATTTCAATCAACAAGAGGAATCTTGACAAAACATGTGAGAACTTATCGACTCTGAAAATACAAATATCTGGGGCCTAATCTACCATACTTCCAGATAGGAGTTTTAATAGTAGTGTCATGTTATTTACACACAGAACTAATTTCCTAAACCACAAGGCCTTGTGTAGAGGTGAAGAAGAGATCCAGAATCAGACTTCCAAGGACCATCAAAACCATTATCTATAACAGATGCTGTCAAACACAATTTTGTTTCTTTCTGATTCTATCAAACACACTCTCTGAATTCATGCTTATTTTCTCATCCATGTTGAAACGCATTAACACTTGATTTTCAGGGGAGCACAAGAAACAAGAATACTCACTCATCAGGATCCAATTCAAGCAACTTGGAAACTGATTCTGACCAGGCAACGAGCTGAGGATTCTCAACTTCAGCTGACGGGGATACTTTCGTATAACAAGCATGCAACACCTGATAATCAAAACCCAGAAAGCATAGCACAAAGTTACAACATAACACCCCCTCAGCTAGTAAAAATTAAAGTGTAGCTCAAAGCAAGAGATCATATCACAATCAACCCTATTAATGGCACAGTTCCGTAGCTAAATTAAGCGAACCCAACTAACAACACACGAACCGTAAGTCATTTGGCCATTTCCCCATTAATTCAGTACGATTTTCTAAGTAGTTGTGTTTAAATTTAACAACTTCTCCGATTTTGGGACGAAACAAGAGCTCAAGTGTAAGCCTTTCATCTAATACACAAACACACAATACATGCGCTAAACTTTCCTTCACTTTCTCAGCAACCAAACAGAACATAAGCCAAAACATGAAAATAGGGCAAAAAACAAGCTAACCTCTCGTGGAATCGTATCAGTCCGGGGATCACCAGGCAACTCTCTTACAAACGAGTTGTCCCAATTCAGATCTTCAAGCTTCAACCTAACCGCGTGAGTGTTATTTACACCATTATTTTCACTTTTATTATTCACTTGATCGTGGCCGTCGGAGGTCAAGCTCTGATTCTGCAAATCGTGCGTTAGGGAGTCGACCGACAAGGTGGCCTCCGGTGGGGGTGAGTCCATGGGAACTTGCTGGCTGGTGCCGGAGCTGAGGTTGCATACGAGGTGGGGCAACCTGGGAAATTGAAAGTGCTTGGAGGGGCAAAATTGAAATTTTGAAGGGCGACGGCGGAAGTAGAGGGCGGTGGAGAGAGAGAGGCGAGGAAGGGGAAGTAAAGAGAGTGAGGCCTTAGAGGAGAAATGCGAAAGGATTTGCATTATTTCTGTCGGACTTTTTGGTCTATCTAAATAAAATTTCTGGGTTTTGCTTAAAAGTACGTTTTTGTCAAAATAACAATAAAATAATAAATAAAAATTCCATTTTGTCATTTTTCCTGCAGCATTGTTGAAATTAAGCAAAAATTAAGGTTTGATTTGCATAGTTTTTAATATATATATCTCTTTTATATAGGTTTAATGAAGCATGTTTTATGTTTTTTAATTTTCCTATTTAAATAATGAAGATCCGAACATTATGTATCTTTTCAATCAGTTCAGTATAATGAAAGAAAAATATCATTAATTAATAGCTAATTTGAAAAGTTTTGTTGGCTAGTTTACTATTTTGATCCCCAACACAGTATTTGACTCAAAACAATCATAATTAATAGCTTTTGAAATGATTAATAATATTCTGAAGAAAAAAAAAACAATATTTAAAAACTAAAAATTAATTAAAACTAAATCCCCTTCCAAGAATTTCTTGTTGACGATGGCAATAGTACTTAGCATGATGAGGAGGTAATAGTACTTAGAATTTCTCTTTGCTTGACGATGTTTGTATTGTTTTCTCTTGGCTTTTGTCTTTCCATGTATTGTTTATCCTCTTTTCAATGAAAAGCAAGTTATTTCGATTAAAAAAAAAAAAACAAGTATCATGTCGTCATTTGCAAGAAGATTACAGATGAAGAAAGAAAAAAACAACATTGCTAAACTTACTGTAAGTAACATGATCAGGATGATAACAAGTTTATCATTTATCTTAGAACCAAAACTTGCAAGCAAACGGGATTTTGAAGGCAACCAAGATTATAACAAGTTTATCCATTGCGATTATACTTTTTTAAAAACGGAAAGACAGGAAAATTTAATTAAATGAAACATTAAATTTTAAAACCAATTGTACATCAAACCCAGCAAGCAAAACAAATGTCAGACCAAAAAAAATACAAGTAAAATAAATGTTTTTAGCATTTTCCATATGACTTTGATTTTACTAAAGCAAATTAAATGATTTGAAGAGTCAATGTCAATTTACCAATCCTGAAGAAAGAGAAAGATGTAGTTTTGATGATTGAGGTTGAAAACGTTGTTGGAAGGACTTTTGATGATGTGGCACACCTATTTTAGGATTCCAAAGTTGTTGAAAATGTTGTTGGAGATGCTCAAACACTCAAAGCATCTACACAATCATGCTCCTTATTTTTTAGTTAAATTTGAGCTAAAACGCACAAAAGCTATTTTAGGAGCTCTTTATAAAATTGAACTCCAATCATACTCCCTAATTTAGTGAGTCATAAATATTATAATTATTTTTTAATTCAATATAATTGGTCCATCTCTGTAAAAAAAAAGATATGTATTAAAAAATAGTTAGCATTAAAATATTTATAAAACAAAGCATCATTAAATTATAGGAAGCCACTATGAGTACTTTATCTCTTCTTAGATTTAGGAGCTCCTAGAAGTCTCCCTATTTTAGGAAGTGGATATGGAGCATGGTTGGAGTTATATTTTTCCAATTTCTCCCTAAAATTTGACTAAAGAGGTGGTTTAGAGAGCCTATTGTGGATGCTCTCACATACCCAAAGGAAGAGATTGAGAAGGCCCAGAAAATATATCATTGGGCCTTGGTATTGTGGGCAGTGTGATATGTGGAGAGGCTCTAAAACTACATCGTGATGCTCAATTTAATTTCTAATTATTGATAAGGGGCTTGTAAGTCAGTTGGTTAAGAGCATTTACTCTTGCAACCGAAGTCCTAGGTCTGGTTGCCTACTACCCCAATATTTGTCTTATAAATTAAAAAACTTCTAATTGTTGATTAACAAGGTCAATAATAACTCTTTAAAAATGGGATCATGATATCTACTCATATATTAGAAAGAGAAACACCATTAGAAGAAGCACATGCTTGTTCTATTATTATTTTTTTCATTTGAGCAATAAAGCTTCATATGTTACTTATGACTTTGAAATAACAAATATTTTGTGCTATCACTTATCACTAGTTCCAACCAAACAACCATAGTCATTGTTTAGCTATAAAACATGTTACAATTATGATTTTCATTTGGTAGTAAAGATGGCAATGTTTGCTGATAAACTGTGAGCAACTTAGTTTTAAGATCTACTATAATATTTACTTATGTTTAGTCACACTAAATATCAATTATTGATTGTTGTTCAGAATCATGGCCAACTTTTATCTTTTCAATGAGATATTGGAGGGTACTAAATAGGTATTTCATGATTATTTGTGTATAAGCACTTAAACTTCAATGCAAACAAAATGAAGGATAGTCACAGTTGGAAAAAGACATATGTTTTTCCTAGTCCACTTAGAAGAAATAATATATCATCCTTTTGGAAGGAGGAGATCATGATGAACTTTTTCATTGTTCATTATAGTCTTGAAAAGATGTACATATGAAATGAGATCCCATTTATCTAAAACGACATTTGTTGTTGGATTGTTCATGTTTAGGAAATGGGGAACCAAAAATTTCACGAGTAACCTTCATATTCATTCAATTATTCATTTGTTTTTGAGTTGTTTATGTTTGGAGAACCACATAATTTCGTGAGTAACCTTTAGAATGACAATGGAGGGTAGTGGTGATTGGTTTCGTTTTCATGGAGTACGGTGTTGGGTTTAAAACAAAATATTATGTTAGGGGCAAATGACAGATTCTATTGACATAAGGTTTTGGTTAAAAAATTGTTTGGATTCCAATAAAGGCACCCATCTAGGTGATTAGTTCACCCTAAATATGAATGATATTTGAATAATAACTTGAAAATTAAAAAGTTTGAATTATGAAATTATAATGTACAGACATTTTACCCTAATTCAAGTTTAAAAAGCACACAAACCTTGCACCATGTTTATTAAAAAACATAATTTACCTTAATTTAAGTTACTTTTGGCAATTGTGTACTTGTAATTTGTATACACTTGCAATTGGAGAACAACGGTTGTGGTCTCAGACTCCATGATATCTTGATATAGTGTGCATCATAAATTTCCAATTTCTTTTAGTTTGGACTATCGTTTATCTATATATATAAAGCAAAAGGCAGAGAATGGTGAAACATTCAAAATACCAAAAAATGCCCTTGGTTAATGCAAACATTAAGGGCCAATTTGGCATTGCTATGCTGTGAAAATAATCACTGTCAGATTTGCTGTGAGAGAAATCAGCTGTGAGGGAAAGCAGTTTGGCGTTTGGTAAATTTTTTGTTAAAAGTGTTGTTGGTATTGATTTCCTCATAATCAGAAAATGACTGTGGCATAATCATTATACTCAGCGCATCTTCAAAACTGATTCCTGCATAATCAGAATATGAAAGCACCTCATTAGCTGCTTTCCCTTATAGCTTTCTCTCACAGCAATTTTTAACAATAAGTGATTTTCTCACAATTTACCAAACGGACTGGACTTCTCAAATTTTTTTTAAAATCACTTATCACCCCAAATAAGCAAGGCCAAACGGGCACTAATAATTGAAATTATTAATTAAATGAGGATAATATGGTAAATTCACACTTTTTCATATTTAAAAAAATTAAAATTAAAAGAAAAATCAAATAATGACCTATTTTTATGGAACACAACTACCCATTATCTTTTTTAATTCTAAAATAAATTTTAATTTTTTAAAAAAGGCCTCTCGCAGGCGCGGAAGCGCGTGCGGAGAGGCTAGTATATATTAAATGTAATTAAAAAAACACAATATTGTGAAGGAAAAAAAAAAAAAAGGAAAAAGAAGAAGAAAGGATATAGTATACACAAAACATTTCCTTTTCATTAAAAAAAAACATGAAATTTCCGAAATCATCAGCCAATAGGAAACACGGAACTCAAACTGAATCATTAACTGAAAACATTAGGGCGCCACAAAAACTAGTTTGAAGTCCGCGGCTTCCCTCCCGACCTCTCTCCAATGTTCAATGTCCAATGTCCAATCTCTCTGCTCAAATCCAATTTCGTCAAATTCACACTCCAATCCCCACTCTTTTCAGCCCAAAACTTTTCGAAATTCTAATTACGCCCCACAATTAGAAGAAGTATTCCAATCCCCAATCCGCTACCATTGACACCAATCGATCGCCTTCTCCATCACTATTTGAACCTCAAATTAAACTTCTTTGAGCTTATGGGGCGGTACTGTGCCTGAATTGGATCCATATTTGGCGAATTGACCTGTTTCTGACGGTACCAGTGGGCTACCATTTCAAGTTCTCGACGAAATTGATTGAATTTTGACGGGTCTGAGTGAAATTCTACGTGGGTTTGCTAGGGTTTAGCGAAAGTCTTGGTTTTGAGGGGCAGTCATGGACTACGAGCTCTCGGATAGCAGTGGTGAGCTAAGTTGAATTTCCTTTTTTAATTTTTTGTGTGTTAATTTTTATGCTCTTTTGTTATTCCATTGTGTATTTTATTGGTTGTCAGAGTCATTTTTGAGCTCAAATTCTTGAATTTATGTTGGATGTGATAGAATTTGGGTTTAATTACTGCTCTGGCCGTTCGTTTTTTGCTGTTCAATTACTGATTTTTATGGGATTGCCTTGAATTTTGAGCTTCTTTGGTGGAATTTGGGAATTCAATGAGAAGTTGATGGCTTTATTGGTAGTCAATTGTAATGTAGTGTACCCAGCTTGTGCTCCGAGTTAATATGATTTTTTTTTTCTGCTTTGTTTTTATGTGCATTCTTATAAGTTGGTCTGGAACCACTATCTAATAGGTTCAGGTTCTCCCTCACAACAAGTAATTTGGTTCTATTATGTTGTGGAGAATGACTCCCATTTTGGAAATCCCCATTCTTCCATTCTTCCCGTCTATGAATCGGTCTTGCCTTTGTGTTTAACTTTCAATATCGCATTGACAGTGGGTGAGGACCCCAAAGATAAATACTTTAATGGTTAGTGCTTGGCATTGTATCAGTCAGTCCATTAAAGTCACTCCTATGTAGAAATGTGGTCAATGGCATTCAGGTCCTTCTATTCCTATTCTGGCCATGCTCACTATGTAGGATTGGGTTGATGGTGTGTGAAAACAAGAAACAGAACAGCATTAAGAGTTTTGTTATATTGGTCATATTACGTGTGCTTCTTGTTGGTTTGGCTTTAGTGATTCAAAAAAGTTGGCAATTAAGGATAAAAGTTATGGCTTATAGAATTTTAACCAAAGGATGCTTTAGTTTAGTGTAGGAATAGTCAGAGATGCATTTTGAGCATGAAACTTATTCTACTGAATGCCTTTCTTTTTCTTTTTTCTTGTTTATTTAATGTCAATACTGCTTGTAGATGCTAAACCAACGTTTGAGTGGACTGTGCATGCTTTTAGAATTCATCTTCTGTTTTGTCAGAAAAGGTTGATTTCATCTGCATTTTATATGCTAGCGTCCCTATACATTTGAGGAAGGACCTCATTCTTAGCATTGTTTGTCTGGAATATAAGATTCCTTATTTCTCTATAGAGATGCTTTATGCCTGATTTGTTAAGCACATATGCAAGAAGTGGCCTGCTATTATATTTTGCATGCATTTATTATTGGCATGTGTGTAATTGAAAAAGGTGGCCATTGGTGGGGACAAGTCCTTAAAAAATGAAAAGGATTTATTGCTTTCCCATGGGAATGTTCTTGCTATGTTTAAGGGACCTGTCACCGAAGCTGGAATAACAGTTCCTTATTATCTGAAACATTTGCAGGTACAGATGATGACCTTCCGCCCTCTCATCAAAATAGATTTCAAAGGGGAGGCCGATCTTCTGGGAATGGAAGATCTGCAGCTGTGGGATCTGCTTCATTACCTAGGATGCATGGTGACATGGAAACCCAAATCCACCACATTGAGCAAGAAGCATACTGCTCAGTCCTGCGGGCTTTTAAAGCTCAATCTGATGCCATCACCTGGGTAGCTGTTTGATTTTGTTATTCGCTGTTTTTCCTTCCCCTCTTCCTTTAAATCAAAATATGAATTGTGTTAAGTTAGGTCTAAAAGCCTGTCATCTTACGTAATTTTCAGGATAAGGAAAGTTTGATTACAGAACTTAGAAAGGAGCTGAGAGTATCTGATGAAGAACACAGAGAACTTTTGTCCAGGGTCAATGCTGATGACATGATCCGGAGGATAAGGTCTGAATATATTATGGCATGTTGCTCTGAGCTGCAAATATGTGTTACATTTGGTTGGTTCTGCATTTTTTTAATGAGAAATGTAATATTATATACTGTTAGGGAATGGAGAAAAACAAGTGGGCTTCAACCTGGCACACTTACTGCTGCTCAGCCTGTTCATGACCCCCTACCTAGTCCAACTGTTTCAGCATCACGCAAGAAACAGAAAACATCGCAGTCTGTAGCTTCCTTATCGCTTGGTGCTCCATCCCCTGCACTGCCTCCATCCATGCAACCGTCCTCATCAGCCTTGAGACGAGGTCCTCCTCCAGGAGGTCGGACCAAGAAGCCAAAATCAGTAAGTTGAAATAATAACGGTTTAAGAAAATTTTGGTATGATATTATTATTCTTGGACTTATTATTTTCTGTTCTTGTTTAATGGAATATGTTGCCTGCTTATGAAGTCCTCTCAGTTCCCTTCCACAAGTATTACTGGAAGGCCCCAAGCCGCTAATCGAGGTTCTTCTGGTGCCTTTGTGGCAAGTGAGCCTGCTGAGGGAGCAACTTATGATCCATTAATAGGAAGAAAAGTTTGGACAAGGTGGCCTGAAGACAACCACTTCTATGAGGCTGTTATAACTGATTACAACCATGTTGAGGTATGCTCTTGTGTTGACTGAGTTCATCTAAACATGAGTAAGCCTTAGTAATTAGCATTTTTTACCACACATAACTCCAATACTAATCCTTATAATTGGCAAATGTTGACAGGGCCGACACGCTCTGGTTTATGATATTAATACAGTGGATGAGACATGGGAATGGGTCAATCTAAAAGAGGTAAGTGCTACATATTCTAGTTTTTTCTGTAGGCTTTTAACCCTCTTCGTTTACCAAAGATATAGTCTACGTCTCATAAATAACTAGATATGAAAGTTAAAAAATTCAAAGTTTTTTATTTTTTTATTTTTTTGCTGGGGCACTTGTAGGCCTTGTATTTGTAGTGGTTAAAAGCACTTATCCCCTACACCTGAGGTCCGAGTTTGAGTCCCCCCTCCCCCAAATATCATTGGCTGAAGAAAAAGAAAACCAAATGATTTACACTGTTATTAGAATTTGGGGTCACCTTGCTCTTGTGTTTGTTTTTGCAATTACTTTTAATGTAATAGGTTTCTAAATAACAACAAAAATGCATCTAGTATATAAATAAATGTGGACATCTGCTAGGCTTGGTCAGCAGTACTGGTGACATGATGCTATGACTTGTCTGTGTTATTAAGATGAATGGAACTTAAATTGGTATTCTATGTTATGTTTTTCGTTTACTGAATCATTTTATTGATAATAGAGCTCATAATGCAGATTGATTTTAAGTTACCTCATTATCTGCATAAAACAATTCATATAATAAAATCTTGCTTATTGATACTGAGCAGTGTTATTTTTTTATATTTCTATGTTTATTATTATTATTATGATTATTTTTTAAAATATGATAATGGAACTGTGGGGGCTTCTGCTTACAGTGATAGAGCACTTCCCAATGCTCATGGAAAGAGTTTGACCTTGCCCTCCCCACTCCCATGACTTGAAAATGTACAAGACACGCACTCGCACATGCACACGCACATATCTACATATGATAACAGAACCATTAATACAAATGATGCACATCGTGTCAACTTACGTACACTGGTGAATACACAATTGGATGACTGTTGGAATTAGATTTGACAGATTTGAATAATCAATTTTGCATCACTGTCACAATAATGTGTTTGAGCATATTATTTTGCATCCGTCTGTAGCTATTATTTCTTTTTAAGATGGCTGGACACAAAGGGCCATTGTTGAACAAGATATTGAAATTTGTGGGGGAATGGGTTGAAGTGTACAAAGAGGAATGATTAAGTTATTGAAAAGTAAATTATATGGCTGGCTTACTTCCATGCCTGGAATTTCTTTTTGCTATTGTTACTATGGCAGAAGGACTTGTCTAGTTTGATCTCTTCAGCAACTGACAGATAATTGTTACAGGATCAATATTCAATCCTATTCATGCTGTGTTCTAAAAGCTTCTAATACTTTGATTAACAATCTACTGATAGTGCAATGGGGGTTGTGGTCCATCAGCTTCTGTTTGTGTTTTGCGTTCTGAGCTAATTTCCCAAACTCTTGTTGCTAATTGTTTTTTACCTTCTAATGGTAGATATCTCCTGAAGATATTCGGTGGGAAGGTGATGATCCTGGGATTTCTCGTAGAGGTGGTCGACCTGGACCTGGACCTGGCCGAGGGATAAAAAAGTCCACGGCACGTGGTGGTGCAGTTTCAGGTGCAGGAAGAGGCAGAGGGACCGCAAAGGGTCAGTCCAAGAAGGATTTGCCTCCACAACAAAATGGCATTGGCAGGAAGGCAATGAGCGATATTGAAATACTTCATACAGACTCTTTGATTAAAGAGGTATAAGGAAAATTATTTAGTTTTTTTTTTCTCCCATTTCCTCCAATCAGCTGGTGGTCATTTGTTTTCCATATTTGCTTGAAACTACAGGTTGAAAAGGTTTTTGGAGCAAGCCATCCTGATCCCATGGAGATCGAGAAAGCCAAGAAAGTTCTCAAAGTAAGAATCAAGCATGTTTTGCGCTCTATTTGCATGGTGCTTTTATTTCTGGTATTGTAATGTGTTCTTTAAAATGCAGGAGCATGAACAGGCACTGGTTGATGCAATTGCAAGACTTGAAGATGCATCAGACGGTGAAAGTGGTAATAACTAATTACATATAACCCCATGTTCTATAATACATAATAAAGCTCCCCTATCTTATGTTGTATCTTTTAGTCTTGGTTAGTCAGATTTGACTGGCACTTACTCTGTACAACTTTCAATTAAATTCATTTGTAATCTTTTTAATTAAGGCCTCCCCAAAATGGGTGCCTAAAATTTGTCCCATCGAGTTACCAATCTGTTGCTAATCTTTATCCATGTTAACATCAGGAAGGTTAATTATAAACGCCCATCTTGTGTTAGCATTAGTGAGGTGGAATCCATGAATGCTGCCATGTTACCTTCATCCCCCAAATTACAATGGATGTATTAGCTATTATTGCAGTGAATGTCTCTGAGGCAGCACAGCTGCGCAAGGTCTTGTTAAGATTTGTTGATGACCGGTGTACCATTTTTCTTCCTTTTTTTGGCTTCAAAACAGATGAACATACATTCTCTCAAAGACAACCAATAGACCAGGAACGAGGATGGAGAAAACGGCAGTACGACGAAATGGCCGAAGGTCGGGCAGTTGACGGTGCAAATGGTAATAAAATGACAAGAGAGGGTAGAATTGCATCGGACGATCAACGTTTTGAGGGCGATGACATATGATATTTGGAGGCTTGTAACATCGAGTTATATCTCTGTTTGTAGTGTTGTGCCATATTCTGATTTGATCACCAGTGGATGCTTGGTAAGCTTTAGGTTTCGTTTCATTTTTAGTTTAACCTTAAGCAGAGATTATGTTTGCTGTAATTTTTTTGGGGGTTGTACTGAATAACACTTGACCATGTAAAGATTGATTTAACGATGCTTTCTCTCTCTCTCTCATTGTGTGGCTAAATGCCAAATTACTGGGACAGCAGCTTAATTTTACACTGTGATGGCACAGAGTATGCAAACCAACTAAGCTCCTGCAAATTACACACGATAACAAGTTAGCCTATTATACATACAACAGCAGAAGAGAGAGCTAACAAGGGAATCTGATCAGTTCTGACTGAGAACACAACCCCATTACAAATGGTTGATTATCTACAATGATGCAATAAATTCAAGGATAAGATTCACCATCTGTGCGTCATAAGCAGGGCCTTCCATTTGGAAGTGGCTTACTCCTTCAATCAGGTGTGTTTCGACGCGCCCGGCTGCTGAACTTAGCTTGTTCTTGAGCTGCTGAACACTTGTGAACCCATCCTTGGTCCCCATTATGAAAAATTTTGGTTTTGGAGATTGTAGTACGGCTTTGTGGTGTCTCCCAAAAAGTATTGAGGCAATCATGCCGAAAGGATACCCCAGACTAACATAACCCACAACTTGTTCAATCTGATCTACTGCAGAGCCTGCAATTGGGGCACCTACAACATAACATAGGGGAAATTTTAAAAATAGGAGGAAATTAGTCTACCATGCACTGTTTAATGCTTTGCTTTTAATGAAAAACCATTGCTGTAACAGAAAATGCTGCTGATCACACCGCTAACAGATAGACCATGCTATATATCACCCATTTTGAGCTGAAGTACAAATAACATCTTATATTTGCCCAGCCACGTCTACAACACCCCACATGCAGTTCACACCAGAAAGATCCTAAATCATGCAAAAGAGTGATAAAGTTTGAGCACCATAAACTTTGCAGAAAATCTGTCTATTTCTCATTACAACTTTTTTATCTTGTGATTTTACTTATGTCATCCTATCAATGAGCTTTCATATTGCAGATACTGGTGAGTATAACCAACACATCAAAAACAAAATCATTGCAATTCAGAACAAGCAACAGAAAGCTAATGTAACTGAAGGTGCAGGATTCAGAGGCTGTAGTAAAAAGATGATATTATTAAAAAATTATCCATACTTCATCATTTTCACCCAGCCTTTGCTTGTAAAAATATTATAGGTTCTGCATCCATACAAGCTTATCATAGTAGCAGGCATTTGAATGCAGCAATACTTGTAATGTCCATTTCTCAGCCAATTATGTGGTAGCCAGCCAAACCTAAGACATATGCTTCATCCCACCCCATGCTACTTGAGTAAAGACTTACGGGCAGACTACATAGCTTTTCTTTTGTAAAGTTATGCATAACTTGAATTCCATTTTCCTCCTAACTCAACAAATGCCACTTGTAATTCTAGTGTTGATCTGCGACCTAGAGAGAAGACCCATCATCATAGTTGCACTGCACAAAACCCTCTTCATCACACTTATTTTCATTTTGAATATGATCAAACTCACAACTTTTGAATGATTAAAGGACAGTTCGATCAACAACACAAAAGTCGGGAATACTCCAAAGTCAGGATATTCCACAAAGTATGAGATAATTAGCATTACCAAATTAAATCTTAACCTCAAAATAATCAATTTTCCTTGAAATCCAAAGCATACTATAATTTTTCGCAGATGCTTTAGTTAGCAGTCTGATACAGACAAAGAATAAAAGTAATTAATTGTTATCTAAACTGATCACTTCTACAAACTAATACGCAAATTATAGATCCACAAATTCATTCACCAAACCAATCAAAGAAGCAATCTACTAACTACCACAAACTAATACACAATTCACAGATCCAGAAAACAATCCACCTAAACCAATAAACAAGTACTCTAGTGACTACCCACATAAAAATACGTCCTTTGTTTACACTATCATGCTTAATCCAAGAAAAATTGCAGAAAAATATTCCACACATGCAAAAATGTTATACCTGCAGAAGAACCCACCAACAAAATCCTGTCGGCAGAGAGATTCTCGCAGACCCATTTGCACACAGCAATCACATCCTTGATTTCTGCAAACCCAGTAAGAGAAGCCCTCCCTGTTGACCTCCCAACCCCTCTCATGTCAAAGGTCACAGCTTTGTAGCCTCTATCTGCCAACCCAGCTGCTATACCTCTCAAAAGGCCTTGGCAACCACCCAAGACTGAGTATGGGTGCACCAGAACCACTACAGGGTTGCCCTTGTTGATCTCTTCTCTTGGTTTGAAGAGCCTTGTGCTGAGTTTGACTCCATCACTGGTCTCAACTGTGCAGGTCTCGACCTTACAGTTTGACATTAGAGATAGAGGCAAAGAGAAAGAAAGCAACTGGGATCAAGAAAATGGCAATTTTTGAGAAAAATGGAGATGCTGAGGTTGGTTGGACAACACCGAATGGAAGTTGTTGGGCTAGTGAGTGTTTGTTTTGTGAATGAGAAAAATGGTCCTACACATGGAATTGGGATATGCGTTCTTTTTTTATTTTTTGGGCTTAAACTAACTCAATGATCCTGTGTGTTATGGAGCATACCATCTTTGGTGGATCCATTTCTTTATCTTTTATCTGTGATTGTGGTTTAAAATTTGAATTCAGTCTCTTTTATCAATGTGAAAACTACGTGCCATTAAACCAAATGATCATTAGTTGTTGTCGCTATAAAATGTTTGAGTACTTACCTTATTTACAAAACATCTTTTAAACTTTGTTTTAATAATCTCTAAAAATATGAATAAGATTAACATTGTACAGGTGTTTATTTTATATTTTGTTTTTCTAGATTTATCTTATTCATATTTTTAGAGATTATTAAAACAAAGTTTAAAAGATGTTTTGTAAATAAGGTAAGTACTCAAAATCGCTTGAGAAATGACTGTTGCAGTCAAGGAAGACAATATTGGTATTGATGAAAATATTGGTGGTTTGAATTTAAAGAGACATTGGTGGAAACACTGATGAAAGTTTGCTTAAAACATAGAATGTGAATGAATTTTTACAAAACATGTGCAGTCCATCAGCTGTAAGAGAAAATAATAACTTGCAATCACCCAAGCAAATGCTTGATATTCTGAACCAGCTAGGGGTGCCTTCTGCTTCTCGATAGCAAAGGCATATACTTCGTGGATGACTTGGTTTCTTCTTCTTTTTCTTGTTCGAGAACCATTTTTTGCTTTTAATTTCTTGGTAAGTCGACCTTCCTACCTACCTATAGTAATCTCATCAATTTTGCTTAAGCAACCTTTGAGACCAATGTACAGAAAATTAGAGTGGCATGTGACTCCTCAAGATGATGACAATGGATAAACTCTCTCTCACTAGAGTAAATAAGACTTTTAGGCAGCTGGGCCAACAAACTATTGGGTGCAGTTGGTTAGCCATTGAATCAAATTAATTAGTTTGATTCAACGGTTAGGAGATAGGACTTCATCTAAGAGCCTTAATAAGGCCCACTGTAAAATGACTCGATACGGGAAGACATAGTTTGGTCTGGTGTTGGTCTCTGACTGGATATTTGAGTCTTGCAAGGTAGGCCAAGGCCCAGGCTTAGCCTTTGGAACTTTTTTATAGTTGGGCTCCAATGAATTGTTGTATATTTCAACCCAAAAAATAAATAAATAAAAAATACAGTGAAGTAAATATTGTTAGAGCATCCACAATGGGCTCCCCAAACCACCTCATTAGACAAATTTTAGGAAGAAATTGGAAAAATACAACTCCAACCACGCTCCCTATCCATCTCCTAAAATAGGAAGACCTCAAAAAGCTCCTAAATCTGAGGAGAAATAAAAAACTCCTAGTGGCTCCCTGTAATTTAATGCTACTTTATTTAAAGGTAATTTAGGTTTTAGCCACAAAAAAAATTTCACTTTTGGAAAAAGCTTTCGAAAATGACAGAAAAACCTCTCAACTTTCACACCAAAGACATGCAAATGTAAAGGATTCCTTAGGAAATCCAAAAATAAATAAGGGCAATTTTGTCCATTTTGGCTTCTTTTAAAAAATTTCTCTCTCCTTTGGCCTTTTCCAAAGTCTCCCTTTATTTAATGAGTATTCCAAACCTTTAATTAATACTAACTATTTTTTTTTATTTAATAAAAATGGACCAATTAAAAAAGAGTGCTGCTATTTCCACCCACCTGGCCTATTTTCCCACCCAACTTATTCTCATCCACCATATAGATTAAAAAAAACACAATCCTATTTTTCCACCCACCATTTTTCCTAAAATGTCCTTTAATTATTAATTCAAGCAAAAAAACTTGAAACTTAAAAATAAAAAAATATAAAAAAACCCAGCACAAACTTCCCTCATCGATGACCCACCTCCCCCATCTCCTCTTGCCACCGACGTGGATCACTTGTGGGTTTAACAAGAATCAATGAAATACTTTAAGTTCTTCGAGAGAGAAAAAAAAAAAAAATTTGCAAAAATCAAGCGATCAAATCAGATTATTAACCCATAACCCACGCTGGAATATTTGGTTGGGGAGGTTGTCTTTTATAATCAGCTTGACTCTGCTTTATGTTTTGGTGCAGTCTGGCGAGCATATGGTTGCGATGGGCATCTTCTTTATGCAGGTTTGCTTTTCCATGCACATTCAATTTACTCTTTATCAATTATATGAATTGTATTGTATGTTTCCTCTTCTGTTCAGTGTATATGGTGTGAATTAACATACCCCGATTCATTTACTTCTTTATTCATTTTATTTTGGTGGTGTGTGGGGGTGTTGGCAAGTATTTTACTTCTTAGATTGGGTTAGGCAGGCACCTACTGAGTGACAGAAAGATGTTTCAAGCCTTTCTAAGGATCACTGTCACCTGCGCAGTAGGCGTTGGTGTTGTTGCTTTGGGAGTCGGCACTACATTTGGGTATATCCCTCCATGGTATGGAGAAAATTTGTGATGGGTTGAGGTTTTTGTCCTTAGAAGTCATTTTACAAATGGGTAAATTTGTCTTTAAAATTTTGAAAATAAGGTGGGTGGGAAAATAAGACAGGTAGGTGGAAATAGCAGCACTCTTAAAAAAGAACTATTATATTTATGACTCCCTAAACTAGACTAGAGAGCATAATTAGAGTTTATATTTTATAGAATAACTTTTATATATTTTTAGCTAAAATTTAACTAAAAAATAAAGACTTATATACGCAA